AACGGTGGCAACCTCTTTAAGTTATTCTTGACTGTGTTGGATTGACTGCTTTGATGCTTTGCAATACGGTAGGGCATTGTTTTGATGCTTACATCCGAAAAAAAAATTTTTTTCAAATGTCGACATAAAACAAATGTCGCCCATGTATATATGTATATATATATTACCCTCATGTTGTTCCAAATCTGTATAAATTCCATTCTTCTTTGGAACATAAAAGTCAATAAGAGAAGATAGAAGAAGATTTTATTGTTTTAACTTTGTCACAGCTCCTAAATTTCAGTCTTAAATATGAAAATGTGTCAAAAAATATGAATTGCTAAATTAAAACAATTATAATAATGTAATCAAAAAGTTAACCAAACAAGCTGTATTGTTTTAATGTGATTATATACAGTACACTTTAACACAAATTACATCCTTTAGTTATGGTGTTATTTCCATAAATAATGATTCAGATGTGCACATTTACATATATTCAAGATGAAAGGGGAAAAAATATATATTAATTTTTACTTGATGACATTTTAAATTTAAATATCCCAAATTTTAACAGTAGTGCAATAATATATATTTTTATATTATTTACATTTATTAATTTAGCAGATGCTTTTATCCAAAGTGACTTACAGTTAAAAACCAAATACAAAGAGTACATTTATAAAAACTTTGTACATGTGTTTTAACTAGATTTTTAACTAGATGTTTTTAAATTTTAACTTCTTTTTTATTGATTGTAATTTACCCATATATATTGGAGAGTTTTTGCTGGACAAATAATATACAGTGAGAGTGAAATTATGTTTTATGTATTAAGTAGGGCCGCACAATTAATCAAATTTCTAATCGTGATTACAATTACGGATGCCACAATTATGTAATTGTTCAAAAGGCACAATTACAAAAAATAAAAAAATAAAAAAATAATCCACTTAAATTATTCTGCATGCTTAATATGTGTTTATTTTCTTTCTACAGCTTATCTTAAGTCCCCCCCCACCCCCATTGTTTTAGTTTAGTACAACATTATAAGTTCATGCATATTTTTATTTTTTTTATTTTTTTATTATGTTTTTAATTTAAAGCAGAAACCAAACCAATGTATAGTTGACGTTTGAGGCTTAATGCTATAGAAAAGCAATACAATTTTTTTTTTTTTTTTTTTTCAGGAAGTGTTTTCAGCTTGTTTATTTTCATATAAAAAATATGGCATGCAGTTACTTTAAACAAAGCTATTCAAAACATTCAATGTAAATTGTGATAATCGTAATTAATAATCGCAATTACAATATCAAGGGAATAATCGTCAGTTATGATTTTTGTCATAATCGTGCAGCCCTAGTATTAAGGAAATTTATTTTCTAAACATCCACAGGGCTAAAACTGGTTTATAGTTGAAGTAACA